CAATAGACTGCCAATCTTTGATGTCCACACAGAGCATGTAGGAACTGTATGTGCAGAGGGATGAAGGAAATAAAGTTTTTCAGAGGAAACAGGAAAAAATAGAACTTTTTCTTGTTAACTTGTCTTCATTCTGAGGTTAAGATCATTGTGGGGCTTGAGCCCACACATCAGAAAGCCTAGGTATTTTATATACAAAGTCTTTGAAGGTTCTGGATCATTGGGAGATTAAAGATCTGTTGTAGCAATAGCATTATTTAGAAAGGCTTCCTTTATGAGAAAAATAAATCTGACTTCTGTAGAACAGACAGTAAATGCAAAGTCTCTCAGACACTTTCAATCCGTACAGTGTTGTCCTAGTGTCTTTTTTCTTTTCTACATTTTTTTCTGGCATGACAGCTTAACTTTATTCCATAAAAGATTGCATTTGCCCTTTCCAAACAACCATTTATTGAAATATGCAGCATCTTTCTGATCAACTATTTGACCAAAGTTTTGGTGATACTGTGTCTTAAATCCAATGAAATTCTTACATATTCACCAGTACTATTTTCCTTAGATACAAGTAGAAGTTTGAGGGAGTCTGAACAAGTTCATGAAAGCAGAACCAGTTGAGAATTGCCAAATACTCAGAAACCACAGGTGGTTCAGAAAGTCACTGTGCACCACAAACTGCTGCAAGCTCATCTATACAGAAACTATCAGCAAAAGCTTCCTCTGTTCTTGCAGTCTTCCTATCCATCTACTGTTGGCCATCATCAGCAGTAGATCTTAGCTTTCACTCGTGTGGCCAGTCTTAGAGATCTGTGGTATTTTTCTAAAAAGAGGAAGACCTGTTTCCTTCCTTCTTCTCCAGACCCATAATCCAGCCTCACCTTTTCTGGTCCTCTTCAGAGTCTGGGTGAGCAGCTGCCCAAAACCTGGGTGCTTGTGACACTGTTTCCCACCACATCCTCAGAGGGAAGCTTAGGAAGTGTGGGATAGATGAGTGGACAGTGAGGTGGGTTGAGAACTGGTGAAGGACAGAGCTCAGAGGGTTGTGATCAGTGGTGCTGAGTCCAGCTGGAGGCCTGTGGCTAGCGGTGTTCCTCAGGGGTCAGTACTGGGTCTGGTCTTGTTCAACATATTCATCAGTGACCTGGATGAAGGGACAGAGTGAACAAAACTGATGATATGAAACTGGGAGGAGTGGCTGACATGCCAGAGGGCTGTGCTGCCATTCAGTGAGACCTGGACAGGCTGGAGAGCCAAGCAGAGAGGAACCTAATGAGGTTCAACAAGGGCAAGTGTAGGGTCCTGCACTTGGGGAGGAATAACCCCATGCACCAGCACAGGTTTAGGAGTTGACCTGCTGGGGAGCAGTTCTGCAGAGAAGGACCTGGGAGTTCTGGCGGACAGCAAGTTAGCCATGAGCCAGAGACATGTCCTTGTGGCCAAGAAAGCCAGTGGTATCATGTGGTGCATCAAGAGGAGTAGGGCCAGCAGGTTGAGGGAGGTTATTCTCCCCCTCTACTCTGCCCTGATGAGGCAACATCTGGAGTACTGTGTCTGGTTCTGGGCCCTCTAGTTCAAGAGAGACAGGGAACTACTGGAGAGAGTCCAGCAGAGGGCTACAAAGATGATGAGGGGACTGGAGCATCTCTCCTCCAGGGAAGGGCGGCTGAGAGACCTGGGGCTCTTTAGCCTGGAGAAGAGAAGACTGAGAGGGGACCTTATTAACACTTAAAATATTGAAAAGGCAGGTGTCAAGAGGATGGGGCCAGGCTCTTTTCAGTGGTGCCCAGTGACAGGACAAAGGGCAACAGGCACAAACTGGAGCACAGGAAGTTCCAGCTCAACATGAGGAAAAATTTCTTTACTCTGAGAGTGGCAGAGCACTGGAACAGGCTGCTCAGAGAGGTTGTGGAGTCACCTTCCCTGGAGATATTTAGAACCCACCTGGTTGTGTTCCTGGGTGAACTGCTGTAGGTGAACCTGCTTTAGCAGGGGAGTTGAACTCGATTTCCAGAGGTCCTTTCCAACCCCTACCATTCTGTCATCTGCAGCTATAGAATTGAATTGGTCACCTCCACTGCCTCCACTCACCTGCAACCTATTTCTGCCACATCCCCAACACCCAGTTTTACTGTAGGTTTGCAGATGTGTGCTGGTAGGAGTACATACTTTGATCACTTGAAGTGCTGTTGTAGGGTGGAAATAGGTGGGGGTTTCGTATGTGGATTTCAGGATGGGTGGATGTTGGTTGGATCTTTTTTGAGCTGCCAAAAGCTGTTTTAAGGTCCAGTACTGTGTTTTCTGCTATTGCTCTCAAATGAGTGAATAATGAATGAATGCTTGTGAAACTCTTTGGGCGTGAACTGTCGTGTAAGTTCCAATTGTTGTTTGTATTTTTTCATGGTTAATATTTTATTTATAATACCTGCCACTTAGTTAATATAAAGACTTATAGTTTATGGTTGTCTCTGCAAATACAATGCGTATGCTAAATGCTGACATTGCCTTTCTCCAAATGCTTTATGTTCCCTTTAGGAAAGAGGCTTTCACTGAGGCTTATGGCGCCCGAAGAGGAGTACAAAAAGTAATGGTTATTGTGACTGATGGGGAGTCACACGACAACTACAGATTAAAAGAAGTGATTGATAATTGTGAAGATGAAAACATTCAAAGATTTGCTATTGCTGTAAGTGACATTAAATGGGAAAATTTAGATTCTTAAGAGCATGTTTCATCTTCCAAATGTAATTTCTGTTTAAAAAATTCATTTCACAGAATCTTTATGGAAATATAATCATTTCAGAGAGGAAAAGAAAAAAGCTGAAAAAAACCCATTAAATTTGCTTTCTGATTTTATAGCACAGAAAAAAAAGCAATCTCTCTGTCTTCCTGGTGATGACAGGTGTGTTTGCATGTGAAGCAAAAGGAGAAAGCATTTGAGGGGCAATATAAAATCAAATCTTTATGGTAAAAGCAATATTGAACAGAGTGGATTAGTTAAAACCTTCTGAGCAATTTCTATAGACACATTACCTACTTTAAAAAAAAAAGCAAATGTAAACCATCAACAATAATCTATTTTCTGTTGTTAATTTCAAAGGTATGTTGGATTGTTTCTTCTTCATTCCTATCCATCTTTGTTTTGTTATGAGACAGTTTCCTTCAAAAGCTAGAGATCATTAAAGAAAAAGTTGTCCTTGAAGCTGCAATAATTTCTAGCAATAAAGTCCTTGTCTAGAACCAGATTTGAATTGTCCCAGTGTCTAGGAATGCTAAAACATGGGAGTTTGTTTCTTATTTCTCTCTGTAAGCAAGTTAAGTGTATAGAGTACTTTTTTCTATGAAAAAGATTGTCGGTCTGGGAATCGGAGAAGTGAGTCGTTTTGTTCTGAGGCATCCTGAATTTTTACAGTAGTGGTGTTAAACTGCAAATGAAATCTAGTCTTGTACTGTGATGGAGCTGTTAACAGTGAATGCAAGTGTTGTTGTTATATGTATTTACAGGGCAAATCTGCACACAAAAAATATTATTATTCTATGACTAATTAGCTCATCATTAATTGCATACGTACCATGTTATGAGAACTGGTGGTATCTATGCAGAAGCCAGTGTAATTGTGTATTCTGGTTTGGGTATTGTGCTGTTTTTTCCTAAGTTAAGGCCTACTTCAACAAATCATAGAGTTGTATGAAGAAGGGAAAAAAAGGACAGTTGAAGATGGCAGACATTTCACCATACAGTTGCTTTGTTTGCTATTGTTGATATTTTCGGAAAAACAACTGAGCCCTCATGCGGTTCTGATCTCAATGGAAAGGAATGGTTTCAAATCAATTTGAGGGAAGTTTTCACGGAACAAATTAAGTTTAGAAATGATTCCCCAGTATTCTCTGACAACCTGCCTCAAAGGTATCGTTTAGAACCTTTGGTTATAAAATGTACCCTTGACTTCTTTTTTTCTCTTTAGATACTTGGCAGCTACAGCAGAGGAAATTTAAGTACTGAAAAATTTGTAGAGGAAATAAAATCTATTGCCAGTAAGCCTACTGAAAAGCATTTCTTCAATGTCTCAGATGAATTAGCCCTTCTAACTATTGTTGAAGCACTTGGAGAGAGAATATTTGCCCTGGAAGGTATGACATTATTTTAAATTTTACTTCATGCCTGCATTACAACTGAAGAAAATAGAAGATCGCCCTTTTATCTTCCTTTGCAATGTATTGTGCCACATAAAATGTATTATGCAGATATTTTTTTCATGCTGATCATAAAAATATTTTACACTAGACATCAAAAACATAGATAATGATGTCAAATATATTCAGATGGGTTAAAGCCTATGGAGACAATAGCCTAAACGTGTAAGTAACCATTACCGTTTTAGTTGGCATAAACATGAAGTTACCTTCTCTTAGGTAAAAAAGCATTGCCAGACTATATCCTGATTACCCCATGATGACGTGTTCATCTGTATCTTTGGGTCCTCCTTTTGGTTAGTTGTTAATTACAGCATATTACTTTGCTATACAAGTTAACGTAGACTTCGTATATGGAGTTGACAAGATACATTTTACATTTGGAAATGGTGATGGTACTCAGATTTTAGCACAGAAAATCATTCTCTCATAACATCTGCTTACATTCTCCATCCAGATTAGGCAATGCTGTCCAAATCTCTGTTTGTTTCAAGCATACTACTAGTAACAGAAGACTGAGTTTATCTCTTATAAATTGTATCGGCCAGCTCTGAAGGGATTTGTGTCATACAAAGAAAACATCCATCTATTTGGACTTATTTTTTCCAACATCTCAACTTTCCAAGTAGCTGGAATAGTGTAGTTTACAGATGGAACAAAAGATAATGTTGACTGGAATGTCGAAAAATAGTACAACTATGAGAGAGTATTTAAAAGTTTTTTAAATTGAAATTATATTTCTCAGACATATTTAGGTGGGGTTTTTAGTGTATCATTTAGCTTGATCAAAAATACTATTTTCAGCTGATTACTACTAAATATTTTTTTCTAGTTTATATGTTCTTATCTTTTTACTTTCTGGAAGATTTTATTTCCTGAATTTTGAAACAAATTAATCTGAAGAGAATTTAATCTCTCTAAAGCCCAAAGTTTAGCCTGCTTAAGCTCATTGAGTACTTCAAAGTTTGTTGAATAGAGGGCTCTTTTGTTAAGTCCCTGTTTACTAGGAAGTACACACTTTCAGTGAAAAAAACAGTTGTTCAAACAGAAGTTGAAAAAGTCTTCAATTTGTGCTTTGTACTTCTCAAAGAGTGAGAAAAATCGTTGTCTCTTATTAGTAGAGTAAAATCTGTTAGTTACACCTATGAAATATAATGGATATAGGATCAAATGTTAATCATGACAACAGATGAAGGATATGAGATCTAACATGACTGAGTTGCTGGACATCTCTGTGCTCAAATTAAAGATTTCGTGCCATAGCTCAACGCTTTGAACATGCCACTGGAAGAGATGGTCTCTGACACACTCCACCTTGTCCCTTTTAGCAATCAATAGCCATTAGGTAGCGCTTGTCACATGAAACCTCAGCCTCCAAATAGTGGAGTAAATCATGCTGACTTGAACTCCCTGCTGGTGGGAGTTCTAACACTTCCATTGACTTTAATAATTCATTCCTCTAATCATAAGAAAAACATTTGATATTAAACAAGTTCTGTAGCTTAATAAAATATGCACACAAATGTAATTATGTTGATGGTGGTGAACTGTTTAATTAAATGGTGTAAACGTTACTTGTTTATATGTTAGCACTTGAGATGACTAATCCTTGTCATCATGTCCTTCAGTATGTTGGTACTTTAAGCATTTTGTTCCTCTCTAAGTAGCAACAAGTTCTGCAGTACTCCTTGAACTGAGCTTTAATTTTCTGCAAAAGACACAGTAACAAATATGTACTTCTTGGAGATTATTACTTTTTGTTTAACATAAACCTATTATAAACTGTTAGAATATTTGTGCCTCTGTATATTTGCCTTATTTTCAATTTTTATTTTAAATAGACTTGGCTGTATTACAAAAAATATATATTTGAAGTGAAAAATGTTGAAAATTATTTTCAGGTACACTGTGCAAGACAAGCTAGGTAATTTCACCACTCCCAAAAGGCTTCTTAATTTCCAGATTTTCAGTGGGAACTCAGAGATCCGCTAAGATTTCTAGATAAGACACCTGTGATATGAGACAAGAAATGTTGCCTCCTCCACCTGTGAAAGTCACAGAAATCACGTAAAAATAGAAACTGAAAATGGTATCTTATCTTTTTGTCAAAACGTAGTAAGGTTGAGTTGTTCCTATGAGTTGGAGCTAGAAGATGCTGACTAAATCAGTTTCTGTTGATTGTTCAGGCATGGTTTCCTGTCTCCTCCAAAAGCATTTCAGGAGCCATTCCAGATTTGCAACTGTGTCCATGGATGCATTTTTGTGGCAGGGGAGAAAAGCAGATTAATTCTGTCCCACCCTGCTTTTTGGTGACAATCCAGCTTATTGGATGTGTGCAATGTGGAAAATAATCATTAACTCCATACATCATAGCTGAATTAATTTCCATGCGTAACATAGAGGTCACATTGATTCTTGAAATTCTGTATCTGAATCTATTTAATTCTCAATCTAAATAGCCCCTTGATAGTAGAGTAGTGCATCTTAATTTATTCTTGGATTTCTTGTTTTCTTTTTGGTTTTGGCCTTTGTAAATTGCAAAGAAAAATTGACAGAGAGTTGAAAAATCAAATCCAACAAAAACCCATACTTGACAGCCAATGGATTTTTATGAATAATCTTTTTCATATGCCTTTGTCTCAAGGCATGGACTTCTGGTTTTAACAGCAATTTTATGTTTTATCCAACCCATAGGAAGGCTCAAATGTTTTTTTCACAAAATATCCTTTGTAGGATGCTTGGCAGTTTGAAACTCAGTGGAAAGTTAGAGGGCTGCTATCTAAGCAACATTCAGAACTGCACACACCAATAGTACCAGCATTGACCTGTACCTCAGACTGCAAGAGTCCTCTTTGTCAGCTCATTAAGGAGCATCCTTTACTGCATGAAATTATTGTTTATCAGCAAATGTGAAACTTAAGCATTTTATGCTCAAAAAGGACTTTTTTAAACTTAACAAAGGACCTACATCTTGTGAAACATGGCCTATATCTGTGTGTCAAACATTTTGTGTTTGAGATCATGTCTCCTTCCTATGACTGGCTATAAATCCCAACAATTAGCAAAGACATCATGTCCCATGGAGCAAGCTCTGTGGTTTAGTTGCTGAGTATCAGAAGTTCAGTATTATTCAATAGTCCAGATGCCTGAAATTCGTGCAGCTATGGCTTGCTATGCCTCAGTTTCATTCACACAGTTGGAGGTTTGCCTCAGCACTCAGCTGGTAGCAAACTGTGAACTCTTCCTGGACAAGCGTCAGAGCAGATTTCATAGTTCTCCTGTACTGTGTGTTACTGTATCTTGCTCTCAAGGAGGAATCAGTATGCAGAATATAATTACCTTACTTGGCCAGTTAAGGTGGCAAAATAGTCCTTGAGTATTACTTTTTTAAGAGGCAGAGCTTTTCTCTTCCCTGATGACATTTCAAGTGTACCTGGGAGCAAAGCAGCCCATCAGAGTTTAATAACTAGCATATAACTACCTGACAAGATAGTGAAACTAGTACTAAATCACCTGATACCTTTTTTATTCAAAGTCACTGAAGAGAATCAGGAAGATTTTTCATGTAATGTTCTGGGCAGGATTACAGTTCCCAAGCCCTTCCCTGAGGCTCATGAATCTTGGACAGATCAGATTTTCCTATGTTGTTTTTTGCAAAGGTTCATACAAACATCAAATGTTTTTCATTTAAAGTTCCTCCAGCTGCCTACAAATTTTTGGTTTCTGGAATACAAGGCCAGAGTTACATGGCTGGTGTTTTATTGTTCACTTAGTTCAAGTGGAAAATGGCTTAACCATATTAATCAAACATTCCAAACATATTTACCATCAGCCTGAGGTCAAATCTGGTCAATTTTAGTCCAGAAATATTTATTGGACAAGTTCTGAGACATAGTCTTAAAATGGAAACTCTCGTACTTAATGGTAGCATTTAACATAGATCTTAATATCTGTATTTATTATAAAAATCTATGGCAAACTGTATTCATTGAATATTCTAGTTAATTATGCTATCCTTTAGTATTATATAAGTACTTTGATTACGCTATTCAAACACTTTTTTAGATTGAAACTTAATTATTTTTGAAACTTAATTTTTTTTGTTTAACAGCCACAACAGACCAGCAGGCTGCCTCATTTGAGATGGAAATGTCTCAAGCTGGTTTCAGTGCTCATTATTCTCAGGTAAACAAACTGTTTGAAAATAGAAGTTCTCCTACAAAGTAGATTTTTGTTGATGATAGCATGAATTTGGAATGAGTGTTTCAGGATTCTCTGTACAGTCCTGTTTGCTGTTGGAAGTTTTGGAATTTCCCGTAATCCAGTTGTTTTGTAGAAAGTATGTAAAGAATGATTATAAACAAGGAAAGCTTAAGAGAATAAGTATCTTCTTCACATGAATTCTAAATTTAATGATTCCATAGCACTTTCTATCAGAAGAATAGTCTTTAATATGTTAAAAAAGACTTTTTACCAGTGCCTATAATGAGGGACAAGGGGCAACAGTTTTAAACTGAATGAGAATAGGTTTAGACTGGATATAAGGAAGAAGTTTTTTCCTGTGAGGGTGGTGAGGTTGCCCAGAGAAGTTGTCGGTTGCACCTCCCTGAAGTGTTCAGCGCCAGGCTGGATGGGGCTTTGAGCAACCTCGTGTAGCGGAAGGTGTCCCTGCCCATGGCAGGGGGGTTGGAACTAGATGATCTTTAAGGGCCCTTCCTTCCAACCAAAACCATTCTGTGATTCTATGAACTATAAAACTGTTCTTTCTAAATATTAATATGTAATTTGATACTGCAGTGTACTGGTGAAATTGAGACAGAAGATAGATAAAAAGGATATTTTTGTCATGGATATGATCTGCATTATTAGTAACACAACGTATTCTTGGTTCCATTAACACATTGAATACCTCAGTTCTCAGGGAGTAAATATTAAACTGGAATGCAAAAACCCCTGGGAATTTGTATTAGCAGAAAATCACTCCCTAAATATTTTATGTATTATTAAAAAATCATAAAGTATCCATTGTGATGATCTGCTTAGTGCACACAAATGAAATTAAAATTTAACATGCAATCAAAAGAACTGGGAAGAGTTAAGCTTTAAAGATGTGAAAAAGTAGTGACAGTGAAAAAGAGCACAATAGGAGTAACTGAACTGAACAAACACCGAGGAAAACATTCCACATAGCTTTGTATACAGCTCAGCATATCACTGATTAAAAAAAAAAAAAAAAAAAGAATAAAAATCCTTCAGTATGATTTAGAGTAAATAATTTATTGCAGAAGTACTCTCTGCTCATTTTACTCTCTGCACTGTATTACACACGATGCTGCAGATGGTGTATTATACCTTAGAAACAAGTATTATCCTGATAGGGAGTGCGAGGATTGTTTATAAGATTACCTGTTTGGTAGAGCATATTCTTTGAGTTCACAAACAACCGACCTGTATCATCAGAACCTCACTTTAGAAGTGGGTCTTCAGTCCTCGGCGCATTGACAGACTCAGGGTCTCTGGTGTCTGTTTTATCTAGAAGTCTACGTTCATGCCTTTGGGCAAGAAAGGTTAGCAAACCATTGCTCATTGACAAAAGGCTCTTGTGCAATATATGAGACTCAAGGATTCAACAGAGAAAGGTTCAAGTTTCTGAAAGTTTGTCTGGAAATGCATTTAAGTGTTGTATTCTCTGATTAGCTTTGCTAAATCACTTTTGTCTTTCTATTTGGCCTGGAATGGTGGTCTGAAGTTGTAGAAGCTCTGTTTCATTCTGCTGCTTTTCCTGAATGGCCCTTTCTTTAATTTTTTTTTAAGTTTGGTGCATTTTTAACAAGTGCAAGACACGTTATGATTGTAGCTGCCATACTGTAATAGGAAAAGTGGGGTTAAATATGTAAGTATACAGGAAGCATTACCCAAATGCTGGCATCGTGATCAATGAGCGTCTAAAGATGGTTCACATAGAGAACAGGCTTTTTGTTTTTCTCTGCGTAAGGATTGGATCATGCTTGGAGCAGTTGGAGCATATGACTGGAATGGCACGGTGCTCATGGTGAAGGACAGTGGTATTTCAATGCCAAATAATGACACTTTTCGTGACAGGCTTTCAGAAAGAAATGAACCTCTTGCAGCCTATCTAGGTAAGAGAAATAGCCTGTCTTATAACACTTTCCAACAAATGCTACAAGACCTCTCTCAAATCTAATTCACAAAATGTGTCTTACAGAATATTACTTTATATTCTAGGAGCCTGGCAAAATTTATAATTTATTGACATGTCTACTGTATGATTTTCTTGTTATTTGAAAAAAAAAAGCCTACTTCTACAATCAAAACACTAGTCCAAACACTTACAGACCTAAGTATATCTAGACTTTCCCCAATAGAGATGTCTAATCTGTTGAGAGATTTCACAAATTCCTCTAGTTTTTATAAAGTTTTTCTGTGTCTTGATAGTTTAAAAGTTTTATACAATATTCAGTCTAAATCTTTGCTTAAAATTAAGCTGATTTCTGTCACTCAATGGATAAGAACAGCAGTTTACCACTATCTTTTTTATAATAATGCTTTGCATATTGGCAGGCTATTGTTTTCCTCTCAGCCTTTTCTACCAAAAAAGCATTGGTGGCCTTGCTCTCTCCTCTAGGTCTTGCTTTCTACACCTTATGGTTTTGTTTGCTCTGTTATCTCATTTAAGCCACATTTTCACTGATGAAGAGTCAAAACTAGAATGATTTTTTTTTCCTAAGTACACTGTTTATCTTCTTTGCAGCATGCCATTATCTTTTCTTTGTATCTTAAATTTGGCAAGGTAATTTTAAATTTAGTTCCTATCCTATGTAATACTTGAAACCCTGCCACAGTTTTGATTCATCTGCAATTTTATTAAGTCTTCCTTCACCAAAGTTATTAAATTCTCGTTAATATTAAACAGAGCTAGTTTCAAAATGCCCCCAGAATCATATTTGGAAGACTCCATCAGTTTGACAGTGACTTAATGACTGGCAGGTGGTTGGACTAGATGATCTTTCGAGGTCCCTTCCAACCCCTAACATTTTGTGATTCTGTGTGTGAAAGTAGCTTTTCAACCAGCTATTCACAAGTTATTTCATCGGTTATCATCATATTCTTACACTGTGTCAGAATGGCAAAATGAACATGACTTACCAGCCTGTGAACAGGTTTAATAACACACTGGTGCTCATGGCTGTAGGGGAATACAGGTCCGGACCCTTTAATTAATATTATTCTCTAGCATAGGTAGGGCTAAACATCTAGTTGTAGAATAAGCCTTAAAAAGGTGCTGAATCATAGCAAGTATTTCTAGTGCATTCTGTGTGTACTGCATCTTAACTTCTTTTCTGCTTCCTAGGATATGCTGTGAATTCAGCATTGACACCTGGAGGCATACTGTACATAGCAGGACAGCCACGCTACAATCACACTGGCCAAGTTATCATTTATAAAATGGAAGGACGAGAGGTACAAGTACTTCAGAGGTTAAATGGAGAACAAGTAAGTATGCATTCATGATTAACATATGAGATCAATATGGCATGAGAAATAGAAATAATGATTTCAAGTGAGAACTCTACATCAGGAGAGCAAATGAAAATGGGAGTTGTTAGCAAGATCAAAAGAAAAGGTTAGGTAGGTGCTCTGGTATAGTAAGTAATGGAAAGTGGACTCGACAGTAGTCAGAAACGCTTGGAATTTTTCTCTTTGAGGGTTAAACTTTCACCAGTGTCAAAGTAGTTGTAGCATTAATTGTACTTCTTGCAATTTTCTCTGCCTGCTGAGTCAGGGGCATGTCACTGGCAGAAATGAGTATGACAACCAGGGTTCTGTGCAAGAATATCAGCTAGGGTAGCATGAAATGTTGAATAGCTGCTTGTTATACTGGGTAGCAGCTCACCAAGAGCTGTTTCTACAGGAAAAAACCCAACGTGTACTCACATAATTAAAGATGGTAGTATAATATTGTGCACGTGAGTGTTGAAAGACCTGCCTACTTGTTTCTCCCCAAGCTGCAGTACAAGCTTCTTTCAGGAGAATTCAGGTCACCTAATTTCCATCTGTAGCTGATGTCTGCAACTCAGCTATCAATCAAGCCTTTTAGAGTCAATGAAGGAAAGTAGGCATTTTTAATATCCTGTGAGATATTCTTATATCCTGTGAGATGAGATGCATCTTGCACTAGAAGAGACTGCTTCTTATGTTGACTGTAAAGGAAATACAGGATGTTTAGCTTAGCTGTGAAGTGAATGTAATCAGATAAATCCCACACCTTGTACCCAGCCTGTGAATGTATCTAGCTCTTTGTGTAGATCTTGTCCCTCTAAGTGTCAGTCTGGGAATTTTGGAGATTGCCTGTGCTGTGTTGTCTTGGAACTTTTGTCCACTGGCCTACCTTTTTCTGCTGACAAGCCTAAGACCATTGATTTTGCTCCTTCTATGTATTACTGTGGGACTGAAGAGAAACCTAGCTTCCTCAAGACACATCTATTCAAATGCTTTCTTGAGAGGTCCTACTCCCCTTAGCAGGTAGAAGGCACCATTATACCTTTCAAACTCAGGAGAGTTGAAAGTTGAATGGACCATTCTTGAAGAAAAACATCTGACAAAAGACCCTAAAACAGAAAACAGCTTTGAAGACAAACAGACCAAAAAGTTCTCCTAGGTAGCAAAGAAAATTTCTGCCTAATGGTGAATATTTGGCACTGTTGTAAGCAACTATAGGACAGGTCTCTGAATAGGAAATGTTGCATGATGTTGCTGACTCTGTCTCTAATTTATGCCTTAAAATTTTCATCCAGATTGGGTCATACTTTGGGGGTGTTATTACCACAGTTGACGTCGATAGGGACTCATTTACAGACCTTCTTCTTGTTGGAGCTCCTATGTATATGGGAACTGAGAAAGAAGAGCAAGGAAAAGTATATGTTTATGGTCTGAACAAGGTAAGGATGATGTTTATTGACCAGGAACAGAACATGTTCCTTACTGTCTTCATATACTTATTTTAAAGAAATATGATAATTTAAACTGGGGAAGATGACCTGTTGAAAACAGAGAAACATGATTCTGACAACTGAGTATAATACAGATTATTTTTGAAAACTTTCTTTTCAGACTCTTGTTTTCTCACTTTTTTTTCTAAGAGTGTATTACATAGATAATATATCCTGTAAGCTGCAATATGGCATAGATGCAAATCTATAGGATTAATTTCTATCACATTTTGGTTTTGCTTTCACACATTAAGGAACAGTAAGGCTCATCCATTCTAAAAGTGTGTGCTCTAGTATCCTTGTTACTTGCTTACCAACCTAGAGCTAAACCACATATATCCAACAGCTTTTAAGCATGTCACAAGTAGATTGAGGAATATACCAGCTACACCTCAGTCTCTTAATTTGATAAGTCTCTCCTTCCAGTGTTTATGGATACCTTTCCTTCTTGCTTTCTTCTTATAGTCCAGAACCATTGTGTATCATTTCAACAGTTATCAAAATATGTCCTAGCAATGATGGTCTCCTAAAATACTGTTGCAGGAAAAGGACCTGAAGAGACTGGATCTATTTAACAAGGAACTGTTCCAGTTTCTACTTCCAAGTGGCTAACAACAAATTGCTGGTGAATAGGGTTGGTGAGAAAACAAGAATTCTATGTCCTCCAATAATATGAGGGTTTGAAATTTGTTTTTCTAGTGCTTCCCTTTATCAGTCTCCAAATAAAGGAGATGCAGCAATTGCTTGCTGCTGCTAATCTCTAACATGGAACTCATGGGACCAATTTCTTGGAAAGGTTGGTTACATACCATACTACATGTGTGGTTTTTGTCTAGGATGCACACTGGACCAGGAGGATATATATGCTAACCCATGGACTATGTGTCTACTGAGGACAGAATTCAATCTATGTAAGAGAAATGCTGTCTTTTGTTCTGGAATGGCAGTATTGCCATCTCAGAAACTTTGCTTACTTTTCAAATTAAGAGAATGCCTTTAGAAGAACTCTACGCTATCTTAAGAATGGAGCGGTTTACTTACAATAACATAAATGGTGTTATGATACTATGCTTTCCTGTGAACACATAACTTCAAGAAATATGTAGAAGCATCTAGATGCAGAAAAATAGGGAGCGAGAATGTGTTTCCCACCCGCTGCTCAGAAAGAACATTTGAATTGTAGTTACAGAATCACAGTTTCTACAGTGAACGTGATGACTAAGAATAGAATGTAATTGTTTCATTTAATTAATCAGTTTGTCTTCTGGACAGTAGCTCTTAAAAGCCTTCATTGCTAAAATGTTGATGGAAATCCACAAACTCTAAATCTGTTCTTTCACAGACAAAGTTTGAATATCAGATGAGTCTCGAACCTATAAAGCAAACATGCTGTTCACCATTAAAACAGGACACCTGCAAAGTTCTTAAGAATGAGCCTTGTGGTGCACGCTTTGGGACTGCAATTGCTGCAGTGAAGGATCTCAACCTTGATGGATATAATGACATTGTGATAGGTTCTCCCTTAGAGGATGATCATCGGGGAGCTGTTTATATTTATCATGGCCATGGCAACACAATCAGTAAAAAATACTCACAGGTAGGAAGTAAATCTTTACAGGTTGGTAGCCGCTGTATGTGATGTAGCGCAAGTCCTGTTTTCCCATGTCTTCCCAACATAATATCAAACTGTGACTTGACCTGTCATAACAACTTCTTTTTTAAAATGCTCTGTACTTTTAAACTCATATGGGTTTAACCAAATTTGACCCTAACATTGTTAGAAAATATATTTGTATGTTTTTATTAGAAACCTTCTGAAACGTTCTGTACAGCCATAAAAGTAGATACTTTGCAATTCTGAACATGTGTAGTGTGTTCATCACCATGGTAACCATTTTAGGAGTTTTGACATTAAAATATAATCTATTTAAAAAGTCTAAAAGCCATCTAACTGCCAACAACTGCATCTTGAATGTTCTTATAAAATCCTTCAATGTGGACTGCATAAACCTCTTAATGCTTTTCGCAGCGTATTGCATCAGGTGGAGATGGGGAAAAAGTGAAATTTTTTGGCCAATCTGTGCATGGACAAATGGATTTAAACAATGACGGGCTGATTGATGTCACCATTGGAGGCCTTGGTGGGGCTGCCCTCTTCTGGTATGGATACTCACAGCAGCTGTCAGGCCAGAAAATAAACATTTGTCTTGGGATACCAATGTAATTTGTGTGCAGTACTCTTTGGACTGTTGTGAGGATACTGGTTTCATCTCATGCTTTGACACTGGCTGTGAATCTTCATATTTTCGTGTGTCTCTGGAGCAATGAGTATAAAACTTAATAGACAACAGCAATAAGTATGGGAATGTTTTAGAAACCTTATTAGCCTAATATGAAGACCTTACCCTCCTACACCATATTCAAAGTAGAAATCAATTTAACTCGTGGCACTAAGTAAAATAGGAAAAAAACCCTAAGTGTTCTCTTTTTCACACTATATTGCATATTATCTTATTAGCAATATCAAGGACAGGTTCAAATGTAAAGGGGTCAGTTAGAAAACTCATTTGACTTCCTAATGAGAAAACTCTAGTTTGACTCCCCACAGAAAATCTTGGAAAAATTTAACTAAACTCTCTGGTTAAGAGTGAATTCATTTTCTTCGTAAAAGAGCATGATTCAGACAGCATAATGAGCAATATATTTTTTATGGGAGAAGAGGGAAAAAAAAACAGTAAGAGAAATAAACAAGGTAGCGTGTAATCCCTTATTTCTAAAGCACAACTAAAGCTACTTCTCTCTGGTAAGGCAATTGCTAAGACAGCTTCTTGCTTTCCCTGTCCTGCTGTTCCATCTAGCTCACCTGCTAAGTGACAAGTTTGTCAGCTCTTGCTACCATCCTCAAGCTGCTGGCTTCCCCTCACCATCTGGTAGTGTGTCTTTCTAAAAGCTCTGTGTGTGAATACAATGAGATGCTCCTTCACTGCATTGTTTAGATCACAAATCTAAAGAAAGTTATTTTGCTAGCTAAGTTTTCTGCTAGTTTACTATGCTGGCATAATCCATCCCAAGGCCAAAAGGAAACTGAGCCAGAACAAATGGAGAGGCAGGGATGCACTGCGGGGACAGGGGCAAAGGGGTGTTAAAGTGAAGCAAATTGGTAGTGAATCTCAGCTTGTTTATCTACTCACAGCCTAAGAGATGGCACACTACCCTCCAGTTTGTGTGGAATAACATGTTCACCTGTGGATATCCTTGAGGATAGGTCTGGGCCTTCAGTCTCTTTTAAAATGGGACTGGCTTTATAGTGTTGCTTAAACGCTTTTGAAAATAATTCCTTTCATCTGATGTCTGTTCTGAAACAAGTACAGCACTGTGGAAAAACCCTGTGACCATTTTCTCTGTAATTTGTTGTTTACTGGTACTACGTATAGAGTGTATAGTTCATTACTTGTCTAGACCATCATATATGTGTATTTTAAGGTTGAATGTTGCACATTTTGTAAGTTCATTCTTAAGTTAAAAAAAGTTGCTGCTATTATTTTCAAGGCACTTTCTCTCTGTATTTTTGTTAAGGTCTCGTGATGTGGCTGAAGTAAATGTTTCCATGCAATTTACACCCAAAAGCATCAATATCCAACAACAAAATTGTCAGATAAATAAAAGAAAAACAATATGCATAAATACCACAATTTGTTTTAAGACCAGACTAAAGTCAAAGGAAGATACATTTGAATCCAGTAAGTAGATAAGCACTAAGCTACGGAATCTTTACACTATAAAACTGCTGTGCTGGCATCCATTTATTTCTCCAAAAATGGAATGCAACTTTTTTACATTCACTATTCAGAGTGCATTTCAGATACTTTGGGAAAAAAAGAATATGTAGAGGCAAATTGGTTCATAATATTGATCTCAACTTCCTTTGCAGGTCTGCAGTATTGGATTACTCTTGACTCACAAAGACAAATATCTCGAAGCTTGTTCACAGAAAGCCATGAGAGGAAAATGCAAAAAAATATAACTATCAAAGGGTCAGAATGTATTAAACATAACTTCTACATGTTGGCAAGTAAATCATTTAAAGTGTTTTTGTGATGTTGACATTATAGTAACCCAAACGTATTCCAATAATTGTAAATTGGACAAAAAAACCTGCATCTAGAACTAAACTTAAGGAGCGTATATAAAATTTTTTTACTACTTAGAATTTATATCTTTGTATATGTATGTAGATATAAACTATTTACTTATGTGTACAGTCTATGTATCTTTGTCTCTTTGTTTGTGCCTGTCTTAAGAAAGAGCATAATACACTTAGTGGAAACAAGCAGTGAAATCGTTGTGGTTAACCGTTTAGGTGCATTCAAAACTCAGCAGAAGCATGTGAGCTGGTTGTCTAGTTTGCATATTGGTGCAGTTCCCCCTGCTAAAATATAGTAAAAGAACTCACAAATTATGTTTGGGATAAAGAATACTTATTCACTGCAAAACATAAATGTAATTAGCATCTGTGAGTATGAAATCACCCAGATTGTAACTAACATGCCAAATTAATGGAGATGAATATTGTAAACTACCCACATTTAAAATGTTTAGTGACTTCACTCTTGTATTATAATTCAAAACTAATAATAAGTGATGCCCAGAATTTGCTTGAATATGCCATACATCTCCTAATAGCAGGCCTCCATTTGACTTCACCCAAGGTGATATTGTACTGATCGTGCTGTTCATCATACTGATCCTTTAAGCACAACAATGAAGGTAGATTTAGATTAGCTATTCAGAAGAAATTCTTCACTGTGAGTGTGGTGGGATACTGGAACATGATGCCTAGAGATGTTGTGAATGCTCAGTCCCTGCAAGTGTTCAAGGCCAGGTTGGATGGGGCTTTGATGATCTTTAACTGTGTTGGATGTGGTCAGGCTATGTGACATTTTTATGATGAGATGAGATGCACAAAACCAGTAGTAGATATTTATAAGGATTGGCTTGCACATTAAATGCTTTGTCATTATGTAGCATTCAAATGCTTCTCTAGCAAGGATGACGACAGTGCGACTGAATGATTTTTTATCTCAGCATTGTTGGGGTATTTTAACCTCCTTACATGTTAAAATGAATGTCCATAACAGCAATTTTGTTTTCTTTATGTTCTAGGATAAGCCTGATTTTCAGGACTCTGTAAAGGTTTTGCTAGAGTTCAATTTTTCTGATCCAGAGAGTGGACCTGTTCTTGATAGCAATCTGCCAAATTCAATATCTGAATATGTAAGTCAGCAAGATTCTGTATTAATAACCAATGTGTTAAGGTTAAATTCATAGCCCACACAGGAGCTGAAAGTAATATGGACAAATTGGCTAAAGAGGGAGGATTGTTGAGTCTGTCCAGAAGATGTGTCCTTTAAATGAGTCTTCAGGAATGAAAAGCTTGATTGAATGTGCTTGGGACCCAGCCTGGGGTTTTAAAGCTGTCCAGAGTTAACTGAAGATAGAAGAGAGTACAAGCAATTTTATTGTCGTTTTTTACATAGAGAGCGCAATGGAATGTTAGTCATTTACTTTGATGGTGGTTGGCATCATTCATACTTCTACTATTGCCTTTTTTTCTAATCTAGATGAATCACTTAGAAGGGAATGAGTAGAAAACCTGTGCATGACTTTCACCTGTGCACTTTACAGGATATTGGCATGTTTCACTGATAAATATTAGGGAAGACTTCTTTGACTGCCAAACAGAAGACCTTGTATAAAATTAGATAATTTATTTAAATACAAATATTTACTTTTAATAATATATTATATGCAAATATTTACTTTTAATAATATAATATATAATAATAAATGCAATAAAATTGAAAATTAAAATACTATTGTTGCAGATTCCTTTCACAAAAGATTGTGGAGCCAAAAATAAATGCATTTCAGATCTTGTTCTGAATGTAAAAGCAAGCATAGCTGGAGACAGGTAACTACACTGGGTTTATTGTGTCACTTGATATCTGTACAAAATTTATATGTAAATTATAAAATCTGTAGTCTTAATAAGATAATGCTGTGGCACAGTTTCCAAATCAGAAACAATATAGTCTGGACACTGAAAGAAGTTCCTCTTTATATTAAAAACAGATTCAAAAGTTAAGGTGTCCAACATTCATACTTTATTTTACAGCTCTTCTCCATTCATTGTAAAGTCACGCAATGATAAATTCACCATCCAGCTCTCAGTGAGGAATAAAAAAGACAGTGCCTATAATACCAGAGTTTTGGTTCAGTATTCTCCAAATATTATTTTTGCTGGAATTGAGGTAGGTTTTATCACTTTATCATAACTTGTATTGCTAGAGAGATCTGAAGAAGCCTTTTTATTAAGCCTGAATTTCATGCCCTGGCATCATGTCAGTTGATTGAAGGAGATTCCCTGGGAATGCTGTCCTCGCTTATCTCTCTAAAAGAGTGTATTTACTTTGACCTGAGTGGACTCTTGCCTAGCCTCCGTTAACTACAGACACAAGTTTCACAATGACACATAGACAGTAAGTGCCTGCATCTTAGATGACATCAGCACCATGAATCATCTGTACATCTGTAGAGCCAGAAATTCCTCATTATTTGTCAGTACAGCTCCTGAGCCTCTAGAATTCTCCTTTTGCATGTGTATAGAGAAAGCACTGTCTTGCTAGGGCAGCATAGATCAGTCCCGGCCTCATACCTACCTCAGACAGCATTTCCAAAGTAGCTGTTTTTTCTGCCTGCTTCAGCAGATATGCTATGAATTCACCTCTGTTCAAGTGGGAAACATTATAAGTTTGTTTTCTATTGACAGTCCTGATGTTGCACATTAGGAGTCAGGGATCCATAGCACTGTTGCTGACCTGGTGGCAATAACTTATGGAGAATGAATGTCACTTTTATTGCCAAGTTAGGAACATGTTTACAAAGTTACATGTAAGAACTGTGTACTCAGACATATGTTAATCTGCTAGTCACTATGACTAATTTGCATGATGTCCAGTTTGCATATAATTGCTAATGTTCCAAACACTTTCACTGGAAAGGAATAATGGCTACTAACTGATGTAGATGTCCACAGGTGGAAATTGTTTTGCAGAAGTTGTGGCTTCCTATTTTTGTTTCAGTCCAATTAACGCTTTGACTTTTACAATGTTTTGACAATGAAAAGTGGCAATATTATATATGTTCAACAGGCCCTTGATGCTTACTTAAAATTTAAAAAGAGTTATCACAAGGTCATGATTTCACTTTCTTTTTACTTTAGGATATACAGAAAGATAGCTGTGAATCTAATCACAACATCACCTGTAAAGTGGGATATCCATTTCTAAAACCTGCAGAAGAGGTAAAAAGTCCCTCCGCATGCATGTTCTCCTTCCTACTTGTTGGTTCTAAGGCCAGGGTAGTCCCTATCACTTCTGAATTTCTTTTCTCCTGTGTTCATGCCAAAACCTGTCCATGCATGTCTCCCAAGCTATCCTTGACGTGAGCTGCACTGAGCCAGATAGGAAAAAATCAGATCTTCAGTACCTGGGCAGTCAGCTGTGGTATGAGGGGAGGTAATAGGTGCATATTGCCATCATTGACACTGTCAGAAGGCAAGAGGCACACCTGGCCAAAAGGGTCTGTATCCAGCTGTATGGGATATTGGTTAGGCTATATGGATAAGACATTAGATACTGTGGCTTTCCACAGGTTGGATCCTATAACTTTGGCTATTTTGTATATAAAATTTAGTCATTTGGTTGAAAAGAGAATAAGCTGGTACATGGAAATGCTAACCTGGATCGGCCAAAGCCAGGCATCAAGACTTCATCTCAGTGGGGAGTGAGAGGCCTTTCCAACAATCAATCCACTTAAAATCAAGCTCCAGCTTGAACAGCTCCAGTAGTAAGTCTATATCTCCTGCTGGGATAGAGAGGGAGCTTTGGCTAAACTAAGCCTTTGAAAATATGCATCTAAGCCGCACTTAAGTAGTTCTGATATTGAATTGAGAAATATCAAATTGCATGCAAATAAGACCAACTGTCTTTCCTGGCAGTGTCTTGTCTGTTCCTCTGTCATGTCAGGTCTGTGTTGTGGATGCATACCAGAGGGAGGATCCTGAGAGATGTCCTCTTACATTGCCTCACACATATATGTTTTACCTCGTGTCTTGGACTCGTAGTCAGCTGTTACTGTCTTGCAGCCATATAAGCGTATTACCCAATGCCAGTGCCCACAATGCTCCCTTCCCAGCTTTACTGGATTTTTCGCCTTCTCCTTTCATGCTTTGATTGTTAGTTTGTCTGTAGCTGTAGTTCCCTAAATCTAGAAATTGCATACTCTCCTTTGCATTCAGAGGACAATTAATCTCTGATTTGTATCCCCAGTGGATTCCTTTTTAAAGCCTCTTCCTGGCTCTTTTTTTTTTTTTTTTTAATATAAGCTTTGTTTCTTCCTCATTAGAGAAAAAAAAAATGGTTTTGATAAATTGTTTGTGAGACCAGTTGGTTTCCATTAAGAATTATTTAGCTATGTATTTCTAATATACTGTATAATAAGTTTTACTAAGGCTTCTCAATTCTGAAAATTTGAAGCTTATGTTTATGAAGTGGTAACTATTAGATTTCCTTCTTGCTTGGGACAAATTCAAAAAACTGGATTCATTTGTAGAAAAATGTTAAAATGTGAATAAGGATTCCGTAGATAAAAGTAACAAAAATTTACTCACTTTTCATCTGATCAAACCTTATTAGCATACTATATTTTTTTTTCCTTTTAAAATGTGCAACATATTTCTCCAAACAGATTTCCTTCAAAATATCATTCCAATTCAATGCATCGTATCTCTTGGAAAATGCTTCTGTTTATGTATATGCAACAAGGTTAGTTGCAATCATTACTTGTTTACCTTCTCTCTCTTTTTTTTTTTTCTTAGAAATCTCTACAGCTCTGTGTTTTGTAGTAAAACAAGGATGACTTTTCTGAACTCAGAAGTAGTTAAACATTCTGTAGAGCTGGCAGCTTTACAGACGTACTCGTTCCAGCAGTGGACTGAGTGGACTTAATAAATAGCTGTTTGTATCTAGAGCCTGAGAGTCAGTAATGAGTCATAATTTCCAGTAGTTTTACCTTCAGAAAAGGTTTATTCTCTTACAAAATTATTGCATACTTTAGGATGAATCACAGTTTATGCTAAACAAAGAGGTCTGGCCTTCAAAGAGCAAGAGCATTGCAGAAATTGCAGAAGTTGTCAGTGATAAAGGAATGCACTTGCCCTCTGTTTGCTGTCCTTGCAAAATCCAGGGATCGTGTGAGAGTAGTGGCTCTTGTTTGGTTCATTTTCATTCAGTCAACTGCAGTCTGTAATTTTAACAAAGATGCATTTCTAAACTGGGACTGATGCAGGACTTAACGTTTTAATTACTGGAAAGTGCAATTTGAATTTATTTTTAGGAGACAGTAGTTAACTCAAAGTTAATTAAAGTTAAGCATTTTCATACCTAGAGCTGTAAGTATTTCAGTTTCTTAAGATCCCTTCCCGCCTAGTAGTGATGTTCCGTCTGCACAGTCTGATTTGAGTGGCATATATTGTTTTATTTTAGTGACAGTGAAGAACCGCCTGAGACCTTGAGTGACAACAGAGGACACGTTACAATTCCAGTAAAATACGAAGTAGGATTAATATTTGTAAGGTATTGGTTCTTCTCTGTACTCTATTTGCTAGCACAGTAAATAGCAGGTGTTCAAAGAGAATATAGTATTGTTTTGTTGTTGAGCTGTGCTCGGTATCTACAGGTGACAGCTTCTAGGCTCCCAAAGAGGAAGCACAGGCTTCATTGAAAAGAGCAGTTATGTGAAATAGTGAAGCAGTTACTGTCACTATCTTGCTGTATCTCCATTTTATCTATTTAAATTTGATCTGCAGTTTGCAAGTACAACAGCAGCTTTTGTTGATTCTTGTGCTTTGCTCGATTCATTCAAAGGCATTTGAGGTACATAAAAAAGCAAATACTTCCAGCTTCCTGATGGCCATAAGTTTGTATCACTATAATATTCCATGATGTGGTGTTTGATTTCCAGCTTTAAAAATTAACCTTTATTTTAGATTCTCAGGGGTTTGTTTTTATCAAGTCAGACACAAAATTTAATGCAGGTCTTGTAGTACACTTTACTTTCAGAAATAACTAGCATTCAGTTAAATTTCATCCCTGAAAAACGTTATAAGTATTATTAGTAGACTACATTGCATGGTGCACAGGTGTAAATAATTAAGTCAAATTCATTTTGGATGAATTTCATGGTTCAAATCCAGCCTTTATTTGTCCCATAGGGACTAATGTTGAATTTAGAATATGCTTGTTTTGTTCTCTTTTTACTTGGTTCTGTCTTTTATAAGACCCTGCCTGTTTCACATGGCAATACTCAGGATAAGGGACTGCACAGCTAGAATAGGAACAGCAGAATCAGACTCTGATGTATCAATTTGGGAAAAGTGTTTGCTCATTTTGTAGTTTTGCCTGAACAAAACATTTTAAATATACATAATAAAAAATGAGTACTACTCAGAAAATGGGTGAGTTGAACTTCAGTGGAAGTAGCAGTGCGCCCTTAATTGCAAGACTAGTCCTGGGGGATTCATGAAATAAGAAAATACCTATATTATTAACTGCTGGAGTATTTGTGAAGTTTGTGTGCTTATTTGGGGTTTTTTGTGGTGTTTTTTTTTAACCCACAGTGTTTTCAAAGAGCACCATGTTATAATTGCAGCAAATGATACTGTCCCTACTGCTATTAACACAACAGAACAGATCGGGGATGAAGTTACTCTACATTATAGGGTAAGAAATAATTAAAACTATATGATACAGGTATTGGCTTCATCTTTTTTTTTTTTTTTATTTCATTCATTTTGAATCACTTAATGTTCTAGCCTATTACTTAAATAGCAGCTATGCAGTATATTAAACCTTCTACATGGATATTTTGTGTGTAACACCTCTTTTTTTCTTGCTTGCTTCACAATAAGATGATTCAGAGGTTCTCAGATTGGTCCATCTCTTCTGTGGAGTAGTTCTGGTGGGGTTTAGAGCTGCTATACTCAGCAGGGGAAAGAGAGTATACCCTGGTAAATGAGAATTAGACCTACATTCATTGTGGTTTGGAACAGATGTTTCCAAAATTCAGTCAGCTTTGAAAAAGGCAAATGCTATGCTCCAAGAATGTTATCTTCCTAGTGGAATGAATACTGCAAACTAAAATCACTTGGAAGAGATATTTAATGGAGTAGAAACCTAGCCTCAAGTTTCAGTAGGACTAAATTTAGTTATCTTGAGAGCATCCTTGTTTCCCAGTGTCAAATTCAAAGTTGAACAAGGGGCTCATTTAAAAAGGATAAAAGTCTCTGAATCGACCTCTGTCTGTAAAAAATGGGCCACAGGAAAGTTGTCACTCTCACTAAATAGCCAAGGCAAAGGGTTTTTTTATCCACCTACTGTGTTTTACTCAGCTGCTATTTTTAGTCTAAAAGTTCAAATCCAGTAATCACAAAGCTTTTGTGGATGTTTAAGACATTATTAATCTCATTTCAAAACCTTTGCTTTCTCAATGTAACAGCTGATGGACTGCTGTAAAAGTGCATAGCATTTATGAGCTCGTAATGAAAACTCATCTCTGCAAGCAGCTTATCACAAATAAGCAGTCAGAAGAAAAATGTTAAACAGGTTCTTCAGTATTTATTAAGCTCATCTGCTTCAGAGACAGGATCACCAATTCCCCTATCAGTAATTCTCCCTAGGCATTTTCTCCATCCTGAGCCACAGCAGTCCTGTTCAGAAGGAGCAGCAGCTTACAGATATGTCCTGTGATCTTCTCAGGGAAATCAGGGGAGAGGCTTTATTAAAAATCTAAATGAAATTACCTTACATAGAAGTCCCACATGGGAAGAGGATTCAGTAAGCAAGATAACAAGAAGAAATTTATGTCAAAATGTCCCCTTTCATCCTGTTCGTTTGATTTCCTTCAATAGAGCATTGTATTGCCAAAGACCACAGAAGAATATGTCTGCTAATTCACAACAGACTCTTCTTTGGGAAGAAGTAAGAGTTCATCATACCGCTTTTTGCACAACTGGCTGTGGAAAAGTAAAAAAACACAGAAGAAAATAAAAACACAGGAAAGGAAAACACTCATAGTCAAACACCAACAAAATAAGGAAAGTACTAATCAAAATATTTCTCTTTTTTTTTTTTTAGATTGAAAAAGGTGAACACTTTCCAATGCCAAACCTCACACTGCAGATCTTATTTCCCAATGTAACAGCAGCCAAGAACACTCTTCTCTACCTTACTGCATTGTCACATTCCCAAGTAAGCTAGGAATTTGTATTTTTATGATTAATTTAAATTTGAAAATTTTGTTGGAAGGAACAGCAAAATGCAAACATTTGGGGCTATCCCCTGCTTCAAGGCAGGTACTGCTTTTAGTCTAAAAGACGAGATATATGTTTCAAGCGTATGTGCAGATGTGCATGAAAAGACAGAGAGATAAATTTTCTCAAAAGGAAACAAGCAAATTTAAGATGGTGTTGAACAATAAATGGTCTATAACAAGTTTAATTTGATATATTGCCAAGTGATGAGAGGTCCAGCATGAGATAAGAGTGACAGGAGTTTCTAAGTTTTGCCTGCTGAGCCTCGGATTATCTCCATTGTCAGCAGTCCTTGTTGCAAATGCTGTAGTCCTGCTGTGTACAGCTAGAGCTTAATCTCCTGTTCAGTCCTTTCTGTTACTGAAATTAGCCTTCCTGCATGTCTGCTCTCTCTCTCTCTGGCTTCTTCCTTCTCTGAGGCACTGAGACATCTTGAAGGGGATGGTAGGTCGTGTCTTTCAAATGCTCTTCACTGCAGCCCTCATTTGAGTTTTCACATTTCACTCCACCAGAGCAGCTGATGGTCAGAATTCCAGCAAATCCCATGATTCCAAATCTGTAAATATTAAAACAAGCTATATCAATAACTGGATGGCTGGAGAACCCAAATATCACTAAGTGGTGACCAAACCCTCTTTTTTTTCTTTTTTAAAATATTTCGCTCAGACAAACACACATATGCACCCCTCTCCAAATATTTCACTTAGTTTTGAGGTGTTACACCACTGAAAAACAAACCAAATGGTCTAAATGAAAGTTCAAGGTTCACTTTAAAACAATGACTACAAACAATAATTCAAAAACCCCAAAATACTTCATGTTTGGAATACAAAGAAATTGTGTCTGTTCTTAAATTCCTTCCCCTGTTTATTTTCATTCCTAGGCAGTCATCACATTTGACCCAAGTTTGCACATAAACTTGTCAAATCTGTGCTTTTTCTATGTGTGTAATTTACCTACCACTACCTACACACTGGTGAAAGTAGCGTGCCAAAGTGCACTGCAGGGGATTTGCAATCCTCTACATGCTAGAAACCTGAAAGTGAATGAACCTGACTGAAAAAACAAATTCCTCTGTGCTAAAGACACCACGGAATTTCCCAGCTGCCTTTGAAGAAGCCATGGAGGTCTATCAATGCTCCAGCACCCACTCACCCTCCCTGGGCGCTGCAGTAGAGGCTCCTGAATCTTGCACCTAAACTGCCTGTCTGCTTGCTAAAGCAGAACCTCTGTGGATTCCCGTGCAAAAGCTATTTAGCTCTTTTAATAGCAAACTTTTCTCTAGTGGTCACCTTGCAGGAAGCTCTCTTTACTTCTACAGATGTTTAAGTAGCTGGATAGAGTTTAGGTTAAATTATCTCATAAACAGCTCATTTGTTGTTTGAATAATGGTACTCAATACCTACACCATCTGAATTTCCTATTCTGCACTCTTGCAATATGCAATTTTATTGCATTTAGTGATAAATATTATTAATGTTATTAAATATTAAACATTATTAATGTTGGCTTGTTTCCAGAGCACTTTTTTGTAATAGATTGCATATTCAGATGAATAATATTTGTATTTCTGCTAACAGAATGCCATCTGCCAAACTAGTTACCCTGTAGATCCCTTAAAGATCAGCACTGGGAAACCATTTGTGTTGCCAAAAATAAAAGAACCTACAAAGGATACAATTATGGTAAGCCTACATATAGTATATATAGTAATCCCAGATATTAAACCAGATTTGGGAGCTCAGTACTTCTGCAATAAATATATAAAGGCTTCTCTCAAACTGTGTCCTATGGAAATTCCCTTTGGCTTAATAGCCTTATGTAGACTAGCTGTACTTTTTTATTTGGCTACAAAACTGTATGTGCAACTGAATTTGGGGTGTTGGGTTTTTTTTAAATTTAGCAAATATATAAATAACAGTAACACATTTGACATCTAAGTACATTTTCACCTTTTATATTCCCATTGTAATTAATAAATAGTAACATTTTTAAAGCTTCTTATCTCCCTTGCAACTTTTTTAAACATCCAATTGAAAATACTTTCAAATGCTAGCACTCTGATCTGACAGATTTTCTGTGCAACTGGTAGAAACGTAGTTGATGACCCTATTTGGAAAGGATTAGTCTCTCACATTTAGATGGAAGGCTTGCAAAGTAATTTTGCTGCAGTAGTTATGCTGGCATGTCAAGGGGAAAACTGTCATATTACCTCCTCAGCGGAGAGGTATGAACTGAGTTTCTGGTGCAAATGAAACTATGCCATGAGAAGAGTATTTTGCCATGTTTGTCCTAGTCCTTCACAGAGGTGATAAATATGTAGGCTAAGCAAATGTTTCCAAAGTGTTGAACATAGTTCTGCTGCCCTCAATTTGAAAGGATCAAGAAACACTGCAGAGAAACCATAGTTGTGTTGGCAGAAAAACACTTGCCTCCTTTAGAAACTCTGCTGATGCTTTTCATTGCGTACCTACAGTAGCAGAGCTTCCTCAAGGCTAAGTGAGCTTGTGAAAACTGAGTCTATTTTACTACAGCATGAATATCTCAACTCATTTTATGTACTGCAGCGTCATTTTTACATAAAAAGCCCCAGTAGTTAATATCAGTTTAGTACTGCTGTCATAGCACGTCTATGGTCTGATATATAGTAGTTTACTTGTTTTTTATTTTAGTAATGTGAAAAGTCTCTTCCTATTAATTCATGCTTGTGACTTTCAAATAGGACTGTGATACATACAGCTGTGCATCTATTAATTGTGCTCTGGTCCCATCTGACATATATCAAGTGAATGTTTCCTTAAGAGTATGGAAACCTACCATCATAAAAGTAAGTAAATCTCATTTGTATTCAGAATACTCCTGGGTTTGAGAAACTTAAGCCAATGTTTCTAATGTCTATTAAAATTATACCTTTCATTTTCTTAAGTCTCCTCCGTCCGCTAGTATTTGAAATCGTTTCTCTCACTATTTTAAAATTTCCTCAAAACTAAGTTACATCCATTTTACTATCCTTAAAGTAAATACTTATAACTTAACAGGAATTTCAAAACGTAGTAGGAGGATGCCGCTTACTTATTCTGTATTGATGGTCTCTTTTTTAATAGCTACTTCTGCATCCACAAATTCTAATTCAGCAGATCTAAGGAGGGGTACATAGAAGCATATAATTTTTGAACACATTTTAATCTGGAAAGAATTCTCAGGTCCAGAAAGGACTTTTTGATCAAAAAGAGCACAGGAGAGAGAATCCACCTCAGAGCACACCTCAGTATTGTCTGATAGTTACAACAATGACCAGGCTGTGATCTGTTTTTCTCAGTCGATAAATTTCTGATACTGAGTTCCTGTTTTCTGCCTTTTTTTTTCTCTGGAAAATAACAGGAAAGGAGCGGAGATATAGAATTTTAGAAAGCCCGAATCTGTCCCTGTGGCCAAAGTAGTATTCCAAGATTAATCGGCATTTCTTTGAAATCTCTGCTCTCTACTTTTTCAAAGCCGTATTGCTATCTTGTAAGCAATGATGTGTGTGCTGAAGGTGACACACGTGAGCGGCTTCACTGACTTCCACATTTTTCAGCATCTCCCAAATCTTTAGCATTAAGTTTTACTTTCTACTTCAAAGTACCTTGTTACAAACCATAGCCATTTCTCTATCTTCCAGGCCAGTATTCACAGCTTAACCCTTGTTGTGAAAGCATTACTTAGGAGTGAGAACTCATCACTGATTTTGAGAAATGACCATCAAAAACTGGAGGTGAGAACATGATAATTCATGGATTTACTTTTCATAAGATTTACTGTGCTACTGAATCATTCATTTTCATCTGTTACTAGTGAACTGATTGTTACCTGTTGCAATGTATTATCCTACTGCTAATAAAAGTAAGTGATTTCATATTACTGTAGAAGTGTCAGAATTAGTCAGATGATGATACCAAAATCCCATTACCCACCAGTGTACTGGATGAGAAGAAGTACTCTCTGAAGTATTTCTGCTTGCTGCAGTATAAATTCTTCCTGCACCTATGTAAATTAAAAGCATACTTAAAAGTCTTTTAAGGGATCAATAGTAGCTTAAGAATTGTCCTGGGTCATTTAGAAGTGATCTTACTTTGTACTTTGTATTTTCTTTATTATTTCTTTCTTTATTATTTCCTTATTATAATTTCTTTCACTTCATTACCCAGGATATATATTTGAAACAGGATCTTCTATTTTTCAGAGGTTTCCTGTCATTTTCTTAGATAAGATAGTATATAACATTATAGCAGTGATGTTCAGGTATAAAGAGAAATGTCTTTAGTTTTGTTAGAGTTGTTAATTATTCCTTAATACTTTTTATTCCAAGACGTTTATACTGGTTAATGCATTGCTGTCCTGTGATAACTTGTACATGTAGGAGCTTATTTACCGTGACATACATTTTTAAGCAAAAGTTTCATTATGTGTTATTACTGTTAATATCCCCAAAATTTAGAGCAAACTAATATTCAGTGTGAATTACATCTTGTGCAAAATATTTTTGGAAATACAAACATCACAGGTCAACTATTAGCTGGTATTGCATTCATGCATTTATTTTAAGTGATAGATCAAAATTCAACCCAGGAGTGAAAACATAGCAGAAAAGCTTGCAGATAATGAGAACTGCCTCTACAAACCGAGGAATTTCAGAATTAACTTTTTTTAATACATAATTTCAAGTTGAATGTTTAGTGCTCTTCAATGCTTTTTTGAACTATAAAGTTGTGTCTCTAATAAATTCTTAAGATAGAATAATCCAAACTCCTATATGGTCACATTTATTTAAATGTGAATATTCCTTATTTCAGTTTAGTTGACACCAGATATGCCTGGTTTAAAGTCAAATTAGTATCTACACAGCCTTTTACACTTACTTCCTTTAATTGGTTTAGAAGCTTGTTAATCACTGCCACCTTTTAGGGAGGCAGGCATTGAGTGTTGAAGAATGCACTAAAGAAGATCCCTAACGTACACTTCAACTACTCATGGTTTTGGTCCTGTATCCTTTATATCAATGACTGCTGACCTATAGCAGGGCCTACCCTCATGACATTAATACACTTAGAAAGTGTAAGAAGTTTACATGTAAATATAGGTTTTCATGTTGGAGATTATTTCCTCAATTCCTGCCTACAAATTCCTATCCTTCGCATTTAAGCGGTACCCCAGAAAATCACTACATACTGATAAAATTCGTGCTGCTCTGCTGATAACTAGGAAGGACAGGTTATTTATTGCTTACATTCTGAACCTTCTGCAGACCATGATTAAGATTTCCAAAGAACTCCCACCGGGTACAGTCCCCTTATGGGTTATACTCCTAAGTATCTTCGCTGGACTCTTGATTCTTGCACTGCTTATATTTGCTTTGTGGAAGGTAAGCTGCAAGTTCTTGTCCTCATGAAAGTAAACAACTATGCTTAAATTCTCTGCCATGTCCTCCTCATAACTAGAACCTGACAGGTACTAATATTATCTAATAAGTAGAGGGAAATCTTGCAGAAATGACAAAATAACTAATAACACCACATTTTTCTGGTGTGTAACATGCAGTGCTGACTAATTGAAACCTGTATTGCCAATATGTTATGAAAAGAAAAAGATATTTTAGTATGAATAAGGGTTCATTAAGCGGGTTTTTTTTATGAGCTTTGGCAATGGCCTTTGACAACCAGGTTTTCTCTGTGCAAGAGATGCTAGGCCTGTGGTGTAAGTATTGCCACAAGTGGGCACTCTTCTCCAAGCTAAATATTTAGTTCATACTTGTGTTAGGTTACAGTTTATAAATTTCAATATGCATAATCTCTTCAAAATTTTGACAAGTATAAAATAAAGTATTATTTATTCAATTGAGTACCAAATATTATTGAACGTTTTAACCTTTGACATTATGTGAGTGTAACAATGATACAGCAATCTTGCCCTATATTAACTGTACTACTTTTCTCTGCTTTCATGACATGTCTTTTTAGTTTTTCTGTTACACAAAAAACAATGTTGTACTTCAGCAATAAAATATTAAATGACTTTTTACTGTACTGAAAGTATTAAAACACTGCTGAGGGCCAGCATACGAATGCTACCAATATGGGTTGTACGCTTTGGAAAGTTCTTAGTCATCTTTTTGTTTTCTGCAGGCTGGATTTTTCAAAAGACCACTAAAGAAGAAAATGGAGAAATGAAGAAAAAAAAAAAAGCAATTTTTGCTCAGGTCTGCCTCAAAAATATTACTGTAGAATTATAAACTTAGATGCAATGGTCACAAAGTTTTCTAAACTCTGGTGCATTAACAAAACAAGAAGCAGAACAAGAAGCAAATCAAGTCACACCTGTGAAGGAAGTATAAAGAGCCTTATGGCATTTTGTCACACTCAAGGACATACTTTCAAATGTTACTTATTTTTGGAGAGTCACTGAATTCAAAGATTCTAACATTTTTTAATATGGAAAATGCATAATCATATTTTTATATACCTATGTATGTGGAATCATTTTTCATTCCAAATTATACAACAAGTCAGCTTGTGTGTAGCAATCCTAGTCTTTTTTATCACTTTACGAGTTTCAAGCTTTCCTCCTTATGTCAGTTCTGTGAAAACAAACTATCAGTTCCCAAAGCAGAACATGCAAACTTTAAAAAATGCACCAAATAATATACGGTAACTAGTGTAATGCAATTCAGAAGATAGAAGCACCTGCAGAATTTTGGGTGAAAATTGCTGAAATACCTTGGACTTCTCTTTCCTCTCATTTTAGTGTGTCCAGCTGAACCCAGGATACTCCAAGAAAGAGGTTTTTATGGTCAAACGGATCATAAAGGATTGATCCATTAAATTACATAACTGTTTGAACTTGAAACAGATTTTTGGCAGGCCTAAAAATGTATGCACAAAACATTCAAGCCCATCTGATTGCACACTGTACTCAGATAAGCAGGGCAGAATTGTATCTGCCAATTGTAATGTCCATATTTATGCAGAAAATCTTTAGAGGTACCCTGAAAGTTTGACTCTTGTTGTATATCTTGGAGTAGCCAGGAGGGTGCTTCATAAACTGTCACTGTAAATTTATTGTGTAGCTATTTAATCCAATGAGTTTAAAGTGTATAAAATAATAATTAACAAAAGAGCACAGATAGGAAATTCAGCACTGGCAAGCTTCTTCTAGTATTATTAAATCACACCTCATCTTTATTACTTATGAGTTTAAGAAGTGATGAATAATTTGCATACTAAATAAGCACTTAACGAATGATGTTTATTTTGTGTCAAAGATTAAAAGTTTATATGAGAATACACTGAAATGTAGATAGCAAAAGGTCGCTTTAAGAATTTTTTTCTTTCTATTTAGACTTCTCAGTTTCCTCCTTTCTTTCATGCACTTGCCTTCCTTCCACAAGGATCTCTCTCACCCGGGCTCTTGGGCTGTGCCTTGTCCTTGAGAGCTTCCTGTATTACTTGCAGCCACACAAAATTAACGGAAGAAAATGGAGGTGTGCTGACAAAGTGCGATGTTGCCTCAGCATGAGACAACTTGGTATTGATTGCAAATAGATAAGAAAATTTAGAGGAGACTTACTGAGTTCTATAAGACTTATTTATTTGCAGAAAAGCTTTGCTTTGCCGAGGAAGCCAGGAAAATTTGCACATCCTCTTGATACAAATGTGACTGAAATGAAAAAAAAAATCATTGCAGTATTCCAAAAGGTTTTAACTTAGCACTGACTTTATGGTAATAGCTTAAAAAGCAGTAATATATTTTATAAAGATTTTTTTTTTCTTCAAGAGACCACAGATTGGGTTGAACATGCTGGCAAGTACAACTCTGAAAGTGTGCCAGAAGGTTCTTTATTGTTTGAAAGATGCTGTCACTCTTAAGTCCCTTCTATTTAGTTCCTAAAATAGAGAGAGTAGTTATTGGGAAAGGTTGAGACATACGTGAATGCAGCAAGTAGGATTAAGTTTGAAAGTGATTGCAATTTCTCCTTGTGTCTGTGGGAAACGTGGTTATTCCATAACTCTGCTGAAGGTAGCAGCATGACTCAGAGGAGAGGACAAAGCCCTCTGTGGGAACGCCATGGGTGGCTATGCTTTGTGGAGCCTGGGAGAGCCACTGAGTGGGCAGACTTGCTTGCTGTGCTCTTCTGCATGCCTGAAAGTTCACCCTATCTGAAAGGGCACAAGGTGAGTTGAGCTTGTTCTGAGTACAGAAGGAATACTTGAATGGAAGCAAAAAAAATTATGTAGAGTAGTTGTGGATAGAATCCCTGCTTTATTCATCCTGTGAGTTAAATAGTCCTTGAAGGAAGGCAAAAATCCATTTCTTGAACAGTGAATATAAACTAATATTTGCAGAGGTGTTTTCAGTCCCATGTCAGATGCAGATTTTATTTTAAGAAAACATATTGTTTTGCCAATTTGTTTGAAAGACTTAAATTCACCATAGCATCTGAATGCCTCAGAACTGTAAATGTTTTTTCCTTATAGTGCCTCTGTGAAGGCATAACAGTGCTGTTACCCTATTATGGTTTTGTAAAGGAACAGAATTGTGAAAGACTTGTGACTCACCTATGCACACATAGAAAGTCTGTGGCAGCAGAGGAAATACTTATATTTGTTATTATTCAGCCAGTTTGTTAACCATGAGGTCGTTTTTCCTGGCTTCATAAAATTACTCAGAAGTTGTTCAAGCCACAACTCATTTCTATACAGCATACTTTTATTTTGTTTAAGTGTTTCACTTTTTAGTTATGATAAGCTGTTAACCAGAGCTTTTTACTTTTCTGATGACATTTCATGTTTTATTTTAAACCATCAGCCTAACTGAAAAAATATAAGTCATTAGAACAGTCTGTTTCCCTAGATAAAGACTATGCAAAAGTACGTATTTTATCAATGCAGTTTGTTTGAGATCAATGTTCCATTCTTTTTAGACTTTGCACTGTAAAAACAATAATAAGCTTCATATAACCATGCTGCTTTCCTCTTTCTCATGATGCTTTCTCCCTTTTCACATTTGTCCTATTATCATCTTTTCAGTTATAATAAATATTTAAAATATAAGTATCTAAAGGGGATATCACATTATTCTTACAGAGGCTAAATTAGTAAAATCACTATTTTTGTCTGTAAGAGCCTTTCCACACAGCACTGTGAAAGCTGTATTTTACCTCTTTTCACTATATACAACAGAAAAGCCTACTGAAAGTAATATTGCAAACGTCAGGAACATCTCACTGAAGTTTGGCAGGCACAACAAATATCAGAGCAGCATGTAATCTGTTTTCTTCCTACAAAAAGACATATTAGGGTTGTAATGTGACTCTAATAACCAACAAGCTAAACATTTTTTTCATTCAAATAAAAGCCTGTAAAAATAATAATAATAAAAAAATTGGTATATAACCAGAGCTTAAGCAACAGAGGGAGTCTGGCCCAGCTCAGTTCCTAACTGCAGCACTGAAGTAGCTGATCTTAGAGGGAATGGACAAGCTACATTTCTGCAGCACAGAACTTCTCTGGAAAGGAGCAAGAGCTTTAAACCATCACTCCTGCTTCAGTTTGAGGTTCTAGAGGTTATTGAGCCCGTATGTAGTTTTAGAAGACTTAGAAAACAGCATCTACATTAGAGCAATCTCTCTGGGCTACTGCTTATGTTCCCGTGCTTGTCTGGTGTCACTCTAGGTCTGTATTATGAGCCCTTGCTACAGATACAACCCGCGTATCATGACCCCTTACCTGAGCCCTACAGTATATATCCTGTGCTGAGTCATTTTGAGCATGTTGTTCCTCTTCTGCAGAGCTTGAGTCAGGGGAATCCACCTTCAACTGGAGCCAAGGGTTTTCATCTCACTTAGCACCAAGAGGCTGGAGTTAGGGTCATACTCATCTAATGAATTCCACATAGTCCAATTGTTTTAATTTCTTGAATTAACTGTTGTATAGATGATGATCCCATTCAAAAATAGAAGCAGAGCAAGAGAATCCGAATGTATGGTTGTTCAATTATACCACTTAACAGGAATAAGAGGTAATTTGCATCATTTTTAAGAAAATTGCATTCTGCACAGCATTTTATTTTTTCTGTAAAATTATTTTATGTGTTTTATTGAATAAAAAAATATTTAAAGAGTCTAGCGAGCCTCCTTTGTAGTTTGTTTGCTTTTCATTCATATAAGAATAATACAAAAGCATCTAAGTACCTAAAAACAAATCCATCTGCCTGTCAATAGAAAGCTATTGTAGAAATAAGTGTTCTTGCACTGCATAACATCAAGGAAAGCCTGAAGGCAGCCAAGCTGTCAGAAATACATTGTCATTAATTGTGTGGGTTCTGTACTTACAGCCACACTTGAAAGCTTTTCAGAGGACTGTACGACTTCCTGACACAGATTTGTTTTCATGACATTACATAGATAAAAGTTGAAGACACATTGATTCAGCTAACCATTCTTCCTACCCAGTAATTTCTCTGTACAACTTATTCCTGTGACCCACATAGTCTGTTGTCGTGCAATCCTGTGAATGATTCACATCAATTTCCTTAAAGCCTAGTAAACGTTTATATCAAAACTTCTTAGATAACAAAGACTACACCTTTTATATCACAGTTAACTTTTAGAAAACATTACAAACCATGTAATTACTTAACTATTATCTCACCAGAAATTACTTTGATGGTGAATCACAATTGTCTAATAGCAACATCCTGTCTAGTCATAGGGGAGTGCTTAGAAAATGTCCCACTTTGTATACATGTGATCAATAGAGTTTGCTGGGCATATTCCATGGGAATATTTCTAAGAAAATCAGGAAAAAAAAAACCAAAACACACAACAAAAGAGGCCACTTCCATTTCAGCTTGTTTATTTGTTTTAAATTGCTCTTCAGTGGAACTGAAAAAGAACTAGAATCACTTTCTTATAGCAAGAAGTGTAGTATTATGTATCGTTTGCACAAAAGTGGATTATAATTCATTGCATTTAGCAGAAGCAGCCCTAACACTTTGCAGTTCAAAGGCAATAGCAGTTCATGCAATGGGTGTGGTTTGAGCTCTGTAAGCATGAAGAGTCATCAATATTAAAGTACTGAGGAAATTTTCATAATAACTGGCTGGTACCGCAATATAGACAGCACAACTGGGTTCTGTTTAAAGAAGTGGATGATAAAGTGAGCTATCCTCGATGTAATCACATTTTAATTACAAACACCAGAGATTTGCTCATTCAGTCAAAAAGGAAAGGGTGAGTAAAAGACCCTCAGGCAGATTTTTCTTCTGACTAGTACAGTG